TCACTCTCAATTGGCTATGGCGACTTCAGCGCCCAAACATCTCACTGTTCACATACACTGGATCCCCCTGGATATCCCACACACGTTACTCTGAACACTCACACAGGCACACACACTCTTCCCACTTAACTACAGCTATGGCAGCTATGGCTGCCTCTAACCTATCGCTATGCTAACTCCTCCTCTCTTGCCCACTGCGTCCTCCGGGCTCATCTGCAGACCTCCTTGCACAAGGCGCTGTGGCAGCACTTCCGCATGGCTCCCGCAGGAATGAATGAAAGGCTGGGTGCTGCCTCTTGATTTATACTTCGGAAACTCGTTGGTCTGCCCTTTGCCATCGGCCCTTGGTGCTTACAGTCCCCCCGTGGTACTTGCTGGACCGGACTGGGACTGACTGGACCTCCCGTTGACTGACTGTGGACTCACCGCTATCCTACCAATGTCGTACCACTGTTGCACTGCAGGTTAGTCCCCCACTTGCCTCGCCACTTGACCACTTGCCCACTTGCCTACCTTCTAGAAGGTCTACAGCTAAGCTTCCGGAACCCACTAAGACTTCTACGCTATAGACCTACAGATCGAACCCCTGCTGCTTATGGACCTACGACAGATCTACCAACTGTCTACGAATACGTAGGTCACAGGTTCAACTTTTGGGGTCTACACAGATACTGTACATGGGTAGGGTGAGGTCTAGGGATCGAACCCTGGGTACTGCATCCGCTACTGCTAAAAGGTGAAAACCGTTTCAAGTACCAAAAGTCCTGGTTTAAGTAATGCCATAAAAGACCGTACAATTCCGATCACTTTATCCAGTGACCAGCCAATATCCTCAATTCATCCATATGGAAAATGATATATATTTTCTTAAATCCCATAAACACTTAAAACTAATAAAAATACTAAAAAAGAAGAGAACTGAAAGAAAACGAAAAAAAAAGAAAAGAAAAGCAGACAAGAAGACAAGAGAAGGATAGACGGCGATGAAACTCACGTCGAAGTTGGAAGAACACCGAGAAAGGAAGATTCATTACGACTCATACTCTGAGTAGAGCTTTTTTTTTTTTTTTTAAATAGAACAGAAATTTAAAGCACTTGGATGAAAAAGTGACAGCAACATAGAAGGAAAATACTAAAATAGCAAAAAACAAACAAACTAAACTAGCATCTATATAGAATGATAGCCAGTATATTCAAAAAAATGATTTTTATAGATTGATAAATCAAATATGATACTCGTATTATTGTATTTTATGAATTCAATTGTATGAATGAATTATGAGAATATTAATATATCAATGAATTTTATACTTCATAGCATAATTTGGATTCATATGAAGATTTATTTATATATACTTCAAGTCACACACCCATATTACGAATCCTTCTAAATAAGTTTCGATAGTGCCAACTCTACCTTAGATGCGGTGGGTCTCATTTTTTTGCGTCTTCCGCCACCAGTCCGTCCAGGCCTCTTTTTCCTGACGTGGATTTTTGCCCCGCACCAATTCCTGCGGAACCAGTGTGGCGCACTACTTCCCTGGCGATGCCAGCCCTTTTTTTTTTCTTTGTTCTTTTTTTTTTTCATTTAAAAAGTCCAGGGTGTTGTAGAGGTCGGTTTCTGGACCCACGACAGGTACCTGACTACAGTCAGCAAGTAATTTATGGGACCCAGACCATCCTATCTTGGAGGATCCCCCTCAGACAGCCCCTATTGCAGGTTCCCTAACGATTTCCTCCACCAGAGTCTGTCTACTAACACCCCTCCTACCGGGATCCCTTAAGACAATCCCCTACTGTAGTTTCCCCACCGATATCCTCCAGCAGAGCTTGTCCCAAGCCAACTCTCCCCCCAAACGGCACCCCATCCCACCTCAGGTCCTTGGCCCCCCCAAAGCAGAGCCCAAGGTAACCAACACACATGAGCAGTCTAATCACAAACCCATACCTGCATCCTCATTAGACTGCTAACTGTATCAGGCAAACCCCTCATAGGCCAGGACCCAACATACAACACCATGGACGGTCCCCTGGGTGGTGCGCAGGCAGTGTCTGTAATAGCTTACCATGCGTCATCCCAAGGGGTGTGTGTCCAGCCGTGCGTCATTCTAATGCCCTGCCGGTGTCCATGTGTGAGGCTGCGGATTTGAACCTGGAACCTCATACCACAATGCGCATTTCCAACCGGTGCTCTAACCACTGAGCTACATCAACTGGACGATGCTTTTTCGACCCAACCTGCGCTACCTCCCCCTGGCGATGCCAGCCTTTTTTCGGCCGAAGCCCGAACGAAGTAGCGGCGGGGAAACATACTGGTGGTTTAAAGTTTACGCAATCGAACAGCTTTCTTTTGATTTTGTTTACCAAATGTTAATGTGAAGTAATTGAACTTTTGTATCCTATGCTGCTTCTGTCTGAGTCTGGTCGCCTCCTGTTTTTTGTCCTCTCATTTGTTCATGCCTTTCTTCTTTTTCGTAATTTCAGCTCTATTACTTGTGGTTCTGACTACACTGCATTTCAATCTGTCTGTGTTATATTCTCTTGGCCTGTTCTTCATGTCTTTTCGGCACCGTAATCCCCTCTTCTCCCTTCTCTCCAATCTGCCCTCCCCCCCCCCCTCCTCCTGTACACCTCTCATCTCCTCTTTATTGTCCCTTTGCCTTGCCTTTTGCTGAACGCTCAGAGCCAGAGTTTCACAAGGGAACAGGTCCGCCATCCTACGTCTGCCGCTTTACGTCTGGTAAAGGCAATGGGTTATGGAAGTTCTGGCTTGAGGTGAGTCTCTCTCTCTCTCTCTCTCTCTCTCTCTCTCTCTCTCTCTCTCTCTCTCT